CCCCAAATAGTGGGAGAGCCGTGACTGGGAACGGGGGTTCCCCGGAAGAGACGTGTTTGAATGCAAACATGCTTTCGTGTCTCTTCCTGCTTGCCCACCGAGGGGACACAGTGGAGACAGCTCGCTCCGACTGCGTCTGATCTACCCGGCCTGCCAGGGACGCAATTGCCCCGACAGTCCTTCGACCAAAGCCCTCAACTCGGAGGCAAACTCGGCGCCGTGCGAGGAAGGGTCCACGAAGAGACCCGCAACGGGCCCCATAGGAGGAAAGCCTCCAGGGGCACAGCCTCCCTGCAGCCGGTAAAAACGGGTAAAAAACACCGCCTGAAAAAACAGACTGTGAGGATGCCCTCCGATCAGCGGGGGAGACCGAGAAAATATCGGTACCTCCGCCGTCGGGCCTCTTACTCGACGTCCCGGTACATGAAGTACCGGTAGCCGAGCGTGAGGACTTTCCACTCATGCAAAACACGCAACTCACTTTAACCGATTTGTTTACTGGACGCGCGACCTTGCTGTGACGCGGTCAGTGTCAGCGATTTTGATGGCTCTGAAAGAAAATCTCAGGTCTCAGAACTCCAGTGAAAAAAACACGCTTTCACGCAAAAAAACAAAAAACAAAAACAAACCCGGAACCCACACGTAGCCACGACAAAGCATCTCGGATGCGGGTTCTATGCTGGTAGATTCTGAATAAACCACTGTACGGTCGGCTCGAAAGACGAGGAGACCGGAAGAAAAAGGCAGCGAGCCTTGGAGCTGTCATTACATCGATATATTGCTAAATACATTAAAAATAAAAGACGACATGCATGAGGGAGACGAATTACAGTTGTAAAAGGTGCCGCCATGAAATCAACATGTGACTACGTAGTGGCGCCGGATTTTGATTTCTTTGCTGTGAAAAATACTACACACAAAGGGGAAAATGACACGAGGGTAAAAAAAAAGACAAGGAAAACTTATCCTACCAGCTACCATGTCGGATGCCGAGCAGCGGCAACAACCCAAGCTATAAATCCGGACAGGAAAAAAAGCAGGCGATCCAGCAGAGCTCGCTAGATTTCATCTCCACTCGAGGCGGAGAGAAATTAAGAGTGATGGACGGCTGCCTATGGCGTTGCCATGTGGCCTCGGTCACGTGGGTTCGTGACGTAAGGGGTAAAAGAATCTTGAGGTCATGGAGCTTCCCCTGACCTGGATTCTATCTCTCCGTCACCGGCAGAATCGCTGATTAATGCCTACAGTTCAAAATAGTCATTTTGACTGACCGGAGTCTATGGTGGGTAATTGAACGTAGTGAATCAGTTTCTGTGTTTTTGTACTACTCCTTCCAGATTACCTGTACCATACTAAAATTGTTTTTTTTTAAAATGACTCCCACATAATGCATCAATTGTGTACTGGATCATTGAAATAGGATTTCTTTTGATCATAGACACACACAAGTCATTTATGTATAAAGCGTATACGCTACAAATAGACAAAATATTTGCATAAACACTTACCTGATGAAAGCCATCAATGATTCCTCCCAGTTTAATTTCATTAAATTAATCCAACCAATCTCATATAAGCAAATTAATTGAACTTCTCTCTGCTCTTTACAAGCTTCTAGTGCATTATTATAAGTTGACAGAGCTTCGTCTAATTGACACTACAAGGGAACAAGTCAATTGTACTCAATTAGAGCAGTCCAGCATTATTGAGAACAATTAGATAGTCTATTAGCATAATTATAAACTATTTTACACTATTTTCAATTTGAATTGCACACAATTTAGATAATTATTATTCAGTGGGATTGAACTGTTCTGTGGGTAGATTTTAAAGTTAAAAACGCAGATACATATATTGAATGAAAAGTGATCCGTTTAAAACCAATTACATCCATGTAGGTTGGAGCTCTGTATATTTTTAATAAATTGCCACATTTGAGAAAAAAGAAATCAAACATATAGTTCGTGACCAAACAACATGCCAAAAATGTAAACAGATAATTTTACTTTTGAAAATGTCCTGAATTTGTTAATTTGAAATGATTTGTTCAAATGATTCATACAAAAGTGAATAAATATTGCATACTTTTGATATCACACACAACTATGTTCGTACATTGACCTCAAGCATAATCGGCCGAATTATGAGAATGCATGGTTTTCAAATAGACCAATTCCGTTCACTGCGAGAATCTCGCTTTATGCGCAAAATCGATAATGTGCTGTCCACATTTGATGATAGGCAATTTCGATTAAGTAAGGGTATTCGGAAACAATATTCCTCTGTCGAAGATCGGCCGGTAGATGTGAGCTACGAAATAAAGAAATTCTAGTTCAAAATCAAATCGTACAATTTTTGCGGCAGGCATTCGACACACGTCTTTCATGCATCTCGCGAGATCTCACAATTGTATGGAAAATCATCTATTGGCAGTACACATTATTAGAATAGATTGATATGAGGGGAAGTGAATTATCAATAATGGATGAATTTTTGGTGCATACTTTTAATCTCTGTATTCTCCCTCTGTAAAATAAAAATAAAGCTGAAGTAGGATATTTTGTCTGATTCTCTTCTATAATATCAGTAGCTTCCTGTAAGCCAGCATCAACAGCGCCCCCATCAAGAGCAAAGAATGGACGAACAACCGTATGATACCAAAGCAAACCAAGCCTATGAGACAATGAAAGGAAAGGATTCAGTAATGAATTGGTATCCATGGTTACTCATGATGTGCATATGAATACCATTCCATATTGCCTTTGTACTAAATTTAAACAATATCGAGCAAAGACTGTATGTGTCTGATACATTGTGCAACAGATAAAATTATGAATATGAATATATTTATAATGAAATGTTGAAGTAACTCAAGATGATGCAAATATGAATAAAAAAAAATAATAAATAAAAAAAAAAACATTTATAAGAAATGATAAGTTCTGAAATAAACTCACGTTGCCAATGGTGCTTTCATGTCTTCACTGTGACTTGCTTCATCCAAACATTTGATACCCATTTGACGATCTCCCGCAAAGCCGAGTAAGTTGACCAACTTCAGTAAATTTGGTGGCATCATAGAAATACAGAGCTGAAATAGACCATACCCAAAACAGACAGCACCGCGCAATCTCGCCAAAGTCTCATCAGAAATCTCATTGTTTGTACTTTTCAACGTAATCACCTCCTCTGGAGTTGTCGGCTCTGATGCAGCTGCAGTGCCCTCAACTTCTTCATCCTCGGCCCCTACGACTGGAGGACGCTCAAAGGACGGACTTTCTGAAATCCCTCTACGCTCTCTTGTTAGTGCATTCACTTCTTTGAAAACTCTGTCGTAAATTTTCCATGCTTTACGTAGCTGCCAACCTCCTTTGATGTAGCTTGTTAAATCCTGTTTTACGAAAGTAATCACCGACAAATAAAGCTGACAGTCCGCTATAATAATCAGTCTCATAATACGCTCCTCGCGAGTCAGAATTACGTCTGTCTCCCGACTACTGCCAAAAAATTTCTTGACAGATCTGACAAGTCCTTCATTTGATGAGCAGAGCTTTTCCGTAGACTTGATGGACCGTGCAGCCATTTGTAGTTTATCTTCTTCAAACGTCATCAACCCATTCTAAGTGCAAAATAATAACAAATTATTAGAGTACAGAGCGTCTGTGTGGTCAAATCACATGAAAAACTGTACAATACAGAATATTTTTTTTAGTTAACTTAATCATTTTCAAAACAAAACTATCTCACAATCATAATGTATGTTCATGTAATTTTTTGTAATTTATTTATTTATATTACAAAAAACAGTCATACTTAATCAAATTTTGTTAGAATAAATAATATTGTAGAATGTAGTTGCTTTTTATTTAGTTAGTTATTTTTTCTGTTTGTAGACATTCAATATTCTTTTATCTTTAATATAAGCTATAAAAAAAAAGAAACATCTTTCTATGTTTTAATTTGAGAAAAATGATCTAATGGTAAAAATAGCTATTTTTGTAGAATGTTTTTGTCAAAGAAAAGTTAATAATGTTGTGTAAGATGAGATATTAACTAGTTGCCATTTTTACAATTACAGTTGTTATCATCTTGTTACAAATCTCATAGGTCAACCCAAGGACCCTACAAAATTCATAAAATGAACAAATTTGACAGAGTTTTCAAAAAGAAGTTAAAAATACGGTCTGTAGAACTGTTGACGAACACATAAACAGACTTTTATCACTCTTTTATATTCGGCCAAAGAATGTCAGAGACATGGTGAAAGAACAGTATTCATTGTGAAATGAAATGGAAGAAATGTTTGATTTTAATGATTTTTTAAAAAATTAAAACAGCTGCCATTTGGCCATCTTGAATCTGATCATCCAACCAATACCTGTACATACGTGCAACATGATGTATATATAAAGTTTGAACATGATCAGTCAAAGCATGTCAGTTATTGCTCTGGAGCAGCATTCATAAAGGCAAAATGGCTGCTAGTCGCCAAACGAATAGATCTGTATATCTATGACATGATGTATGATGAATATATAAAATTTAAACATAATCAGTCAACATGTCCAAGCATGGCCGCCAGTCAGCCATTTTGAATCCAATCTGAAAAATCCATCCATAAATAACCAAGACCTAGTTCCAAAATGCAAGAAATGCTTGGTTTTTGATGGCTGCCATTTGACAATCTTGAATCAGATAGTGAAACAAATTGATGTGCATATGTATAATATTATGTATGATGTATGTGTGAAGTTTGAATGAAATCAGTCCAGGCATGTCTATGATATAGATCCGGACACACGCATGAAGGTCAATCAATAAGTCCTCATTTTCTGACTGCGTCTCTAAAATTTCAGAGACAATGACAATATTGTGCTGCAGTAGAAATTAACTTTAATTCTTTAGACAGCAAGCCACAGTGTTTTCGCCCTCTAGTGTTGGAATTGCTCTAGTTCCTAGTGAAAACAACCGATAATGACAATCACAATAGGTTTACTTACCATAAAACAAACAAAACTTGCTCCAGCACTCATCAATGGACTGTAATTTCTAAATAAATAAATAAAATAAATTTCATTTTATCATTTAGATGTGTTCTATGCTCAATTTTACATATTCACTAGGTTTTAATTTAGCGCATTTTCCAGTCATCAAAATAAGCAAAAATTAAAACCCAGTGAATAATTAACCCCCTTTATACAGTAAATAGCCAAAGTGAAAGTTTCAAAAATTAGTTTTGATTTCAAATATGAATATTCTCAGATGCAATATCTTTTTCTGAAGAGTATTCTAATTGACCCTTTGAGCATCATTATCAACGTTTGGCACAATCTACAAAATTATTTTGTACATGTATAGTCTTCCCATCAAATGAAATGTTGATCAAAAACTAAAAGAAATATCTTTAACTGACTGTATGGGCCATATATGGTGATGAAATTTACTGAAAATTTTACAAAAATGTGAAAATATTTGCACTGAATTTTGAACAGGAAAAATATCCGGGATAATAACCTAGACATATTGTATTTTAAAAATGCGACTCAATTTGTGAACAAAGTAAAAAGTTTTAGATAAACATAATCATGGTTACAATATATATTAAAAGCACTAATGGTTCATAAGTATCACATCACCAGCATTTATCTAATTTTTACCATGTTTGTTGTAGATTTCAAAGAGCTCGACCAATTAAAATTTTACAATTTGGTTTCAAAGGAATTGGAAAGTATTGGATTAAATTTGAGAAAAAAATGTTTATATTTTAAAGATTACATTATATGATTTAAAAATACGCTATTAACTCACGCTAAAGTTAACTTCAGGTACTATCCACAAAATAGTTCCATTTGCAGTCTGCTTTTTTCTACAGAAATTGTTGACGAAAATTTAAATATTTTTGATCAAAAACTAGAAGCAATGTCAGATTTTTTTGTACAGTCTAAAATTGAGATTGAATTTAGTAAAAATTACACAAACAATTTTGAAAGTTGGTGCCCAAATGGTTAAACCTGATTATTATGCATTTATTACTGTTATTTGATTAAGTGGGGAGGGGTAAAAATTAATTTCTTATTGTGTGTGAGAAAATAAAAATAAAAGAAAAACAAAACACAGATTAGAAATGGTCATGAGTGATCTTAAAACAATGTGGACATGCTATGAAAAAACAGCCAACATACAAAGCGGAAATGTACATACCCCCGATAGAATACAAAACTGAATTACAAAGGAATGTACTTAAACATTTTGCATTAAGAAACTTTGATTTTAGGGAGCTGGGGGGGGGGGGGGGGCACCAGTTATGAATGGCTGACATTTTCCATGAATAAGTTTAAACGACAGACGCCACTTAGACATGCAGTATAATAATCAACTACTTTTATTTTATCAGCAATAATGGCGCGAGCTAAGTATAGTTTGACCTCAACATTTATTTCATTAATGAGAAATGAGAAATGTGTGTCACTCAAAGTTTTAGGAACACTGCATTCATTAATTTCAACTATACTATTTGAAATCTGACAATAATTTTTGGCTATAAATTAACTTTTTGATGAAAAATATTTATAATTAAAAGAAGTTACCATAGAAACAATAAACTTAAGCAAACATTTGACACTTCACTTTATTTATCTATCTTTGATATGGAACATTCCATTATCAATCTAAAATACAGGGGAGAGGTATGTATTTAGAGGGACTCTCAGCAACCAACTCTTATAAATATACTTTTACAGAATAAAATTACTGAACATTTTTTTTATTATTCATTGATTTCATTCATCAACTTTGCAATCAGAGATTTTTCCATTTGAATAAAAAAATGATTGTTAAAAATCTGATAATTATTCATATTGTAAAGCATTAGAGAATTCACCTAAAAAATACCTGATACATGTGTATAGTGTATTTTAATGAATAAACATATATGTCAAATATTATGATGAATTTTTAAATAAACTGTCTGACAGTATAAACATTACCAAGAGTCCTTGCAAAGGTTGATAACTCTTAGCATATCTGTACATCACATTGGTCTCTCAGGACAGTTACCATGGATATTCATAGTGACCCAATTTAACATTTATTATTAATGGTTATTTTTGGATTTTAATCATAAATATAGGCGGACATGTTCATAATATTTTTGTATAAAATTCGCCACCATATATTTACTATTTGCTTTCAATTTAAGCTGATTCTTAGAAGTTATCTATATGTACATATAGTCATAAAGATATTTCATGAGTGACACTCAAATATATATACAATATGTCATGTTCGTCATAATTACATTATTATGAGTTTATACATGTACCATCAGAATACTGAAAATTAAAAAAAAAATGGGGTTTTTGGATTATTTTTTGAGACACAAAAGTCTGATATATCATGACAATTTTTATACTGGTTTCTAAGATAAAATAATTTGTTCATATTTCAAAATTTGAGATATGAATAATTATGACTAAAAAAGTTGTATAATTATTATTGCTATGATAATTTATCGTTGAGTTAAATTTAAGTTTAAATTATGGATTGCCAGATTGCTAGATTTTTTTCAGTTTTACTGAGAATCGGTCCAGAATTGAAAAAAAGTCAAGAAAAGTCATTGTTTTCACAGGAGTATGTGCTGCTAGACAACATGGCTGCCAACCCCCAGTATGCGCAATATTGATGTTAATACTGTAAGATCAGGATACAAGCTGATGATCTGTGCGACTTTGGGATTGGTTTGACTCGTAGTGTCACCAAATTTTAGTTGCAACAAGTCTGGGATTCCGATATCCAATACCATTTGATGCAGTTTTTTTTGTACTGTTGGCCCATGAAGTGCGACAACCGTCGACTTTGACCACAAATTTGTTTCCCACACCCAACCAGCAAAATAGTCAACTACTTTGTGATTGGCTGACGATACAGCTGCATTGCATACAATGTTACTTCAGGAAGCCAGTATATGGTTATCAGATTTTGGGGCAACATAGCTTGCAGCACATCTGCATTGTGAGTTGTAAAAAAATTCGTGGCCACGCCTAGATCATCACTGTATATCCTTAAATGTCCTTCCTTTAAGAGTCAAAGGAAAAGACTTTTCGAAGATTGTGATCTGAAGTCTAATTTACCAGACGATATTTTTCTTGAGGTAATGAAAAATGCAAAAGCCCTTTCACTATACCTTAAAGATATTATCTATAAATCCCCTAATTAAAAGTTGCGAGAATCTTGAAGTTATTATTTTGATAGTTTTTATTTTTATGTTTTATGTTTGTTTTTATTACATTTGTTTATTCTTGTCTTGTTATTCTCTTCACCTTACTAAATCCTCTGATGATTTAGTTGTGTAATAAAGTTAATATTATTATATACTACTGTAAAATGACTAATTTTCACTGGGTTTAAATTTCACTGATTTACTATTTCAGGCATATTCAGTGGGTTTTAAATTCACAGTTTCGTCATTTAGATAATGTGTTCTATGATAAATTTTACATATTCACTGGGTTTTAATTTAGCACATTTTCCAGTCAGCGAAATAAGCTAAATTAAAACCCAGTGAATAATTACCCCCTTTACAGTATTATGATCTGCAAAAACTTCACATCACCAGATGATTAGAGAATCTCTGGTTCACTCCAGGAATCCCAATAACCAAGGCAACTTTCCTTTTAAACAATTTCATTTCGAAGATTTTATTATGCTATGTGTATATAACCAGATCTGTAGCAAGATGCACTCTTTTTTGAACAAGAGATAGTTAGACACTCTCATATTTCAGCATAAAAGTTGTAGGAAGTTCAATGCTATAGAAAAAATAAAAAAGGCAATCTTTCAAGTCCCCAAAATGTTTCTAAATGATTGTCCCTTTAGCATTGGCATAGTGTAAAATACTTTATTTTAGCTAAAATTAATTTTCACTGAAAAGACTTTTTGGGTGTTTTTGTATGGAATTTATTTTCACTGATTTTTGGTGAGCGGAATGTAAAATATAGGAAAAAAGGTATCTTCGCTGGATTTTATTTTCACTGAATCACTCCTTCAGCGAAAATAGCGAAAATTAATTCCAAGCAAAAATAAAGTATTTTACAGTAATATAGGCCACTCCACGTGATATACGCCAATCAATCACGTGACATTTTCACCATCACATGAGATCTTCCACCTCCCCCAAAATGAAGGGAACATGAGCCCGTGTAGCACATAGATCGATAAATATGAAAAATAGGAAATTATTATCGTAATTAAATGAAGTAACTTTAGTGAAGTCATAGCTTGTTGTGTTATCAAAGTTGTATTTTGTGTTTCCGCTTCATGCAGACGTATCGATCGATTCAAGTGCCGGTAGTAACGGACACATGATATATTTTCGTAATGCAAGTAAACTAACAGCAACTAAACTAAGAATAGAAAATGAAATATATTACAGTAGTTTACCTGTATTTGGTAAATAATGCATCCGATTCCTTGTACCCGTTGTTAAGCATCAAGTTAATACCGGCCAACGACAATTTAACATCGTCTATTTCGACTTCCATCATCCCGTTTTTAGTATAATCCTGTGTGTCTTCTGTCATCATTTTCAGAAAGTCAAACCGTTTAAAAACCTCTCGCAAATGTTTAAATTTCTAGAATGCGGTTATGTTGCGCCGAAAACTGAAATGCCACGAGATCTCAGCGAAAGTACCGTGACCCAAAATCCATAAACAATATTGACTTTAGTTCGCCATTTTCTAGTTACTGTTGACTAGGAGGGCAAAGGTCAGGGGTTAAAGATCAATAATCACATGACACGGGAGTTTTCATCAGTACAATTTTGGACGTTTTGAGGGGCTCCTATTCCCTCGGTGCAAACGTTGTACGTGTTTATAAAGGTAAGCGCATATCAATAAAGCATGAAACATGAATTATATTGATATCATTATATTGCAAAAATCAAAATGATTTTAGCAAGATAATTGAGCTTGTATTTAAAGTTGTTATTTTTGGAAACCAGTTTAACAAGGGTATAATGTCCTTGTTTTTATTTTTTTATTTTGTAAAGTGTGAAATTTATCTGTATAGCTACGTTATGGTTAGTATGCTGTATTTATTAAGGATCTCCAAGTTGAAAATTGAGGGTGGGCAAGTGAGCAAAACTAAACAAATTTCCATGAAGACTGTGCGTAATAACAAATTTGAAATAAATGTGAATACAAAAAATTAATCATTGGGCATATGTAAAAAATTGCCAAAAAATGGAATTCCTTAAGCCCACAATTTCAAACACCCTCACGAGTTGTCACCTGCGCATGCTTCAGATGGCCATAGCGTGTCATTGTTTAAAAACAAGCGTCTAAATAATAATAATAATAATAATAATATTTATTAAGCTTTCGGAGCGGCAACAAAATAAAAAAGAAGAAAAGAAAAAAGGAAAAAAATCATACATATCTGAGACTGAATAAAAATAAAATTGACAATAGATCTCATGGTGAATTCATACTACTTTCATTTCTGTGTTTACAAAGATTTTTAGGAAATTTTCGTACCTCTTTAAAAACAATGTTCATATTCCATGGAATGTCACCAAAAAGCAAATTAAACTTGAAATTC